ATAGATAAGTTTCAGAAAAATCAGAGAATATTGTTTTTACAGGGTCAAAATATCGCAGTATGATTGCACCGTAAAACGTGCCAGTTGAGTTTTGAGCTCTAGGTCTCAAATATGAGTTATAAATGGTCTATAGGACTAGGAAATATGATTTCTGATAAAATTTGATGGAAATAAGTTAGTTTGGGGAAGCGTGCCAACGGCGCGCGCAACAGCTTAAAACAGTGTTTTCTCCTATCGACCGGAAAACTCAGTATTCATCTGATCAAGTATAATTAAAGGAGAATAGTTAATGTTAAAAATTAGAGTTTCTAAATAGGTTGTAAATTTTTGGACGTTTAGTGAAAATTCGGATGAATTTTAAATCGCGTGAGGTGGCGTGGGACCCACCCCCTTAAGTCCACTTAAGCCACATCACCCTCCCTCACCTTTCATCTTCTTCTCCCTCCTCCTTCCTCATGAAATCCGCACATGGCAGCCCCTCACCACCATGTTCACTCAAAATTTTCTTTTCTCCATAACTACACCATTTCTTAACCAAATCAAGTGATTTTTGTGTTGAAATTTGATGGAAACAACCTTCTAAACACATTGGTAGCACTCTTAAGCCTTGAAACCATCTCTTTGGGGAGATCCAAGCCAAAACCAGCTGTGAATTTATGGAGAAAAATGGAGGTTCATGGAGTCATTTGAGCTTGCATTGCTTGGAGGAGTCTTGGGTTAGCATCTAGCCTTGGTTGTGAGTATATTTCTATCCCATTTACATGGTTTGATTATAGTTGATATTCATGAACCCTAAACATTGATTTGTTGATGTGTGATGTTAGAGAGCTCAATTGAGAAAAGTTTGTACATGAAAGTGTCTTAAAATAATGTGTTTTAGCTATAAATGCAATGAAAATTTTAGGTGAAAAATGTGATTTTGTAACTTAGAATATTTTTGGAAGTTTCATGACTTGGATTTTGGAAAATGTTTTGAGATGTTATTGGTGAGTTGTTAGATGATTATATGTTAATATAATGGTGTTGTAAGAGGTGTAGAATGATTAAAATTGAGTGAGAATCCTTTGGACATTCCATGTGTGCAATTCGGCCATAAAGGGTGCATTAGGGAGTTGAGGTTGTTTATGTTGATTGAATGATATATCAAGTGTTAAATGGTATTAAAATGGGTTGTACGGTGGTTGGAAAGTGGTAGAATCAATGAAAAATAATAAATTGTGTTTAGGGTCTCCAAGGAACCTAGAGTGAGTTATTTAGCAAAACGGTGCTTAAAAGACGTAAAACGGAAAAACAACACCTGAATTACCCTCCCTCTTGGCAACCTAAGGATGTGTAATAAAATGAGAGAGAACATTTAGAAAAATAAATTTGAATTTTTGCCTTGTTTGGCTGAACCTTCAAGAAGAAGAGGAGGATTTTGTGGTTTTCGCGTTTTGATAGAAATTGACGTATACTGATGGTTGTACATGGTTGTATAGGTTGCCGTACGTCGATTTGAATCCCGAACTGTGAATTGGTGGATTGCCCTTGGTCCTGGACCAAGTGGATTGAGGTAAGTGATTGGATTATGCATGCGTAATTGAGGATTGGCATGCATTTTGTGAACTTTGAGTAATTGGGAACGTCCTATGTGTAGGCGTTCTGTTGAGTAACAAACTTGGAATCTAAGCTGTTGTAGAGCTAAGTGGAAGAACATTTGAGGTAACCTCTTGGTACTGGGGCTTGTTCCCTTTTTCTGTTCCACCATACCCGTTGAGGGTAATGGTAGGAAGTGTATATGAGTAGTGTAGAACAGCATGAGCATGCATGTAGCATTTATAAGGGTACTTATGTACCGAGTCTCTGGCCAGTAGACAGTGTAGCCTTCGGGCAGTGCGGACTTTCACTGGATAGGTCTCCGAGAGGGAGTTCCAGTTGACCTAGGGTCGTGGTGTGTCATCCGGGTAGGAGCACACTAGGAAGTCTCGAGTATATATGGATGGAAGGGGTACCTTGGTTGTGGTTCTTGGAACACGCCTTGGATTAGACCCGTAGGCTTATATGCCGAGGACGTTGCGTGGTATGGGTAGCTACCATTCCAGCTTCGTCGTATTTTATATCCCGATATTCCCCAGTTTCTTTAAATCCCTTGCTTTATCCCGTTTTGAAAGTGGTTGTTTTATATTGCTTATATGCATCGAAGTGAACCATTGGGCGGAGTTTTCTCCAGAACCTCTGGGTTACTGAGATATATCCGTATATCTCACCCCGTCTTGGGGAATTTATTTCAGGAGCTAGCAGTGGCGTTGGAGCGGTGGGCAAGAAGCCCGTAGGATGACTAGTGGGAGCATCTTTATCATTTTGCATTTTGTTGGCCTTGTGGCCTAGGCTAGACTTAGGGCATGAACATCCCATATGTATGCAGGATGAGTTTCATGTCATATTTGTTCATGTCGTTTTGCCTAAGTCTAGTTGTTTATGTCATTTGAGTTTTATGTTTCAAGTTGTAAATTAAAGCATGGAATTGTAAGTTGTAATTTAAAGTTTAAATTTGTAAGTTGTAATTTGTAAATGTACAAGAGATGCATGATATACAATGATGGAAGGGCTTTAGGCCTATTTTAGGTTTATGATTAATTGTATGTGGAAATTGCATGAAAATGGACTTGATGATTGAAACAAGTTAAGAATTATAAAGTGAGTTATATTGTGTAATAAATATAAACTGAGTTAGGTTGTAAGTGCCCCAAGGCATTGTTGGCCCTTGTGTGTGCCACCCATTCGATTATTAGGTACATTGAGGTACTAGAGAGCTTATGCAAATTTGGGGATTTTAAGAAAAACAAAGGAAACTCTGGCGAATTTTCGGTAGAATTGGCAGATTTTAGACGAACTTCGGGATAGCATATCTCCCTCCACAAAGGTCCGATAGGGACGTGCCATACGCCATTTTAAAGCTTGAGATGTCCCCTACACGGAGTTAAAATATGAGAAAATTATGGTTTTCATACAGCCCTGTAGGAGTCGTTGAACACAGACTTTCCAGAACCCCCTTATGCAGGGGCTGTTTCTGGCAGTTTTTGGGAAATGAATTCCCTCTTCGTTTCTCAGTCAAATTAAGCGTATGATATATCAAATTGAAGGTTGAGGTGTCTCGTTTGTAGCATAAAAATTTGAGAACAATTGGATGAGTGTATTTTCTGCAGAAATTCGTGGAGTGAGAGAGGTTTTGAGCTGTTTTGGGGTTGGTTGGCTGTTTTACTTATCCAACTTCAAACGGCGATAACCGGAGCAAACGAGCTCCGATTAAAGCGTGTGATAGCTTTTTAGAAAGGGAATTAAAAAAATATAACCCGAGAGGAAAGTATAGTTTTTAGCGGTGTTTTCGCAGAAAAATAATTAGTGAACCATGTTCGGAAAGGTAAAAACGTAAAGTTGAGAAATTGGCTAAGTGGGTTTATGGGAACCCCTTAGTAACTTATAATAAGTAAAGTAAGACATAAAAATAGTTTAAATAAGTACTCCGCAAGAGTTTACAGTTACGGTCACATCTTTTTTTTATTACGCTTTTTATAGTTTTAAATGCTCGCGTAATAAACGGAAAAAGTTTACTCGCATTTTTATAAATGAACTGCTGCGATTGTAACTGCGCTTAATATCGTAATTAATGTTAACAATACCGGTGTACAACGGGCTATTACACAAAACCTAGCTTCTTGGTTTCTTCATGGATTCAAGTGGGACCAAAGGCAATGTTGTTTAGTTTGGTTAGGAAAACATAACCCGTAGTTTGGATACCATTGTGGAGGCTTGTGTTGGGAGATTTTGGCTTGAGAGGGCCACAAAATTGAAGCTCTCATTGGAGCTTGGAGCTCAGCATTGTCTCTTGGGGAGTTGGAGTACATACCTTGAGGGATTGTGGGTTGATTTGTGGTAAGAATCCTTAACCCCTATGTGTTTTGAGTTGAAATGCAAAGATAGGGTTTTGTAGTTATGTTGGTAGATTGGACATGTTTTGGCATGTATGGGGCTTAGTGTATTTTGTGAAATATGCTAAGGATGATGTTTAATCGATAGAAATGTACTTAGAAAACCATTTAAGCAACCTTCCTAAAATTATTGGAAAATGACTTGATAAAGTGATGAAAATTCCTAAGTTACTTGAAATGTAGCTTGTTTGCTTTGTAATGGTCATGTTCACGGTGTTTCTAGGATTGAGACAAGTGAGTCATCATTGACAAATCAAGCCTTGGATGAACCAATGGAGTTGGACTTGAATATAGAGTGATGCTTGGTTAGGTAAGTCCTCCACTTGTTGAAGTTTGTTGGATTACCTTATATTACTTGTGAATGTATGTTGATATTCATATGATTGCTATTGATTGCATGGCACCTTTGTGTAGGTGTTGGTTTTAGAAAGTTATTGTTGTGGAATTGATAACACATATTTTGTTACACTTATTTATTACTCTTGGTTGGTATTTTTATGATTTATTTGAATTAAATAAAGGTCTTTTGGGTTAAATCATAATTCTAGATTCTGTTTCTGTTTCTTTAATTTTTCGTTTTTCTGTTTCTATTTTTTTATTCTAATTAGTGAATATTAACAGTAGATTAGATTTTGTTAGGATTTTGATTAGATTAGACTAGACTTTGTTCCCAATCATTCCTAATCTTTTGATTCTGTTAAGATTTTGTTAGATATTGTTAGATTATATTATATTTTGTTAGATTTTTATTAGATAGATTTGATTTTGTTATATTTAGTTTCCTTTTATTTTATTTTTTATTTTTTTTCATTTTATTTATTTTTATTTATTTATTTTATTTTTATTTTTATTTTGCTCTTTCTTTCCTTTCCTTTTTTTTTATTTTTTTTATTTTATTTTTATTTTATTTTTTTTAAATCGTTCAATAGTTTTTATAATTTTATTTTGGTTAATTTCTAATGTAGTTTAAATATAAATAATTTTTTTATGGGTACATTTTTTTTCTAGTAGTACTGTCATTAATTAAAAAAAATGAATAATAGAAGTTTAAGGCAATTGGCTGCACCAGAGGTTAACTATCAGCCTTTTTGCATTCATTATCTTGATCTTGATACTGGTTTTAAACTTAAGTCTGGTCTTATCCATTTGCTTCCCAAGTTTCATTGTCTTGCAGGTGAGGATCCGTATAAGCATTTGAAGGAGTTTCATGTAGTTTACAGCGCAATGAAATCGCATGGAGTTGATGAGGAGCAGGTTAAACTGAGAGCCTTTCCTATTCCCTCGATGGAGGAGCTAAGGATTGGTTGTACTACCTTCAACCTTCATCTATTGAGACTTGGAATGACATGGCCATATTGTTTTTGGAGAAGTTTTTCCCTTCCTCAAGAGCCACTTCAATCAGAAAAGAGATAAGTGGCATAAAACAAGCAAATGGGGAGAACTTGCATGAGTACTGAGAGCGATTTAAAAAACTTTGTGCAAGCTGTCCACATCACCAGATTTCGAAGCAATTGTTGATTGTCTACTTCTATGAGGGATTGCTACATATGGACAGGAACCTGATTGATGCTGCCAGTAGAGGAGTTCTTGTTGATAAAATACCTGATGAAGCTAAGGCGTTGATCTCAAACATGGCTGCAAATGCTCAACAGTTTGGAACGAGAGCCAATAGTAGTGCTGTGTACCAGATGCAAGCGACTCTGACCCAGCCTTCAGCAGTGGCATCAAGTACTGGCAATCAGAGAATTGAAAATAGACTTGATGAACTAGCAATCATGGTGAGACAGTTGGTAGTTACCCAGACAGTCCAGACTTCTGCTCCACAGTCCGGCAATCCATGTGGCATATGCGATGACCCATTTCACCCCACTGATGCTTACCCTTCTTTGCAAGAGGGCCCCATTCCTGCAGACCAGTCAGTCTCTGCAGTTTTTCCTGAGAAACCACAGTTCCAGCAGCAGAATAATCCATTCTCCAACACATACAATCATGACTGGAAGAATCATCCCAACCTTAGATGGAACCAGAATCAGCAATATGTTCTATATCAGCAGAACCAACAGTTCAACCCACAGCAGAGACAGAACTTCCAGCAAGCTGCTCCCCAACAGATGCAACAATAAAATAGTGGTAGTGGTCCTTCCTTGGAGGACTTAATGAAACAGATGGCCACCAACAATCTGGAGTTTCAACAGAGAACAGAATCCACAACCATAATTTGCAGACACAGATTGTGCAATTGGCGACATCAATGAACCAAGCCTAACCTTCCAGCAGCTCCTTTCCATCACAGACAGTTCCAAATCCAAAGGGAACCGGCAATGTTAGTGCCATTTCTTTCCGGTCTGGCAAGCAACTGGAAGAGCCAAACCAAGCTGCTGCTGAGTCATCCAAGGGAGGTGACACTAGTTCCAAGAAGCAGAGCACTGATACATCTGATATCCATATCCCTCTGCCATTCCCTCATAGAGCCACTCAGTCCAAGAAGCAATCAACAAAGGCTCAAGATAAAGAGATACTTGACACCTTTTGAAAAGTTGAGGTGAACATCCCTCTTCTGGATGCAATACAGCAGATTCCGAGATATGCCAAGTTTTTAAAGGAGCTGTGCACCAACAAGAGGAGACTGAAAGGAGATGAGCGAGTTAGCCTAAGTCAGAATGTATCAGCACTCATCCAGCCTATGCCTAAAAAGGGTCAAGATACAGGGACATTTATTATTCCTTGTGTGATTGGCAATTCTGTTTTTCATGATTGCATGCTAGACTTAGGAGCTTCCTTTAATGTTATGCCTGAATCTGTGTATAAGTCTCTTGGTCTTGGTCCTTTGCGTGCTACTAGTATTGTGGTTACATTAGCTAATAGGAGTAGTGTTCGTCCTTCTGGAGTAGTTGAGATATATTAGTTAGGGTGAACAATATGATTTTTCCTGCTGATTTCTATATTTGAGGGATGGAGGGTGAGACCCCTAGTAGTACAATTATACTTGGTAGACCTTTCATGAAAACTGCTAGGACTAAGATAGATGTGCATGCTGGTCTTTCCATGGAATTTGGTGATAGCTTGGTAAATTTTAATATTTTTGATGCCATGAAATTTTCTAGGGTAGAGCATTCTATTTTTTGTATGGATGTAATTGATGAAATGATTGATGATATCTCTATTGACTTAACTGCTGAATATCCAGAATTATCATCATTACTTGATTCTGATCTGTCATGTGGTTGTATCGATAATAGTAATTGTACTGCTTGTGCTGAGATAGCGTTGTGCTATTCCGATTTTTATCATGCATTGAATGCTGATTTGCACAGTGGTTCTGCATTGAACTTGAATTCTGAATCGCCTGTTGAAATCATTGCTGATTCTGTTTCTGAGAATTTGATTCCAGGCATAGATATTAATGTGTTTTCTGCAGAACCTGCACCCGCTAGACTTCTCCCATCCATTGAGCAGCCACCTAAGTTGGAACTGAAGGTTCTGCCTGAACATCTGAAGTATGCATATCTGGAGGAACATGAGCAGTTACCTGTGATAGTGGCCAAGAACATTCTACTCGAGCAGGAGGAAAAGTTTCTGACTTTGCTGAAAGCAAATAAGAAGGCAATTCGATGGACCTTAGCAGATATTATGGGAATCAGCCCTACCATGTGCATGCACCACATTTTGCTTGAGGAAGGTGCAAAACCAGTGAGGCAACCCTAGAGGCACCTTAACCCGCTCATCCTGGAAGTGGTGAAGAAGGAAGTCACGAAGCTTTTACAAGCTGGGATCATTTATCCCATTTCAGATAGGCAGTGGGTTAGCCCGGTTCAAGTGGTTCCCAAGAAGTCTGGAGTAATTGTAGTGGCGAATCAGAAAAATGAACTGGTTCCGGCAAGAGCTCAGAATAGTTTGAGAGTCTGCTTGATGTTGCTTATTCTCCTTAGGGAGTTCAGGGAGTTTTCTTCCCTCTTTTTCTTTTCTTTCTGTTATTTGCATTTTTATTTTTATTTTTCCTTCTTTCTTTTAGTTTTTGATTTTCCTAGGTAGATTTTCCTCTTCTTTCTGGTAATTATTGAGTGATACATGGAGTAGACTTAGATCACAATGTTTGATTGCATGATTCTTAGTTTGTTGGGCTCTGATCTCGATTCTTGGACTGCAATACCTGCTGATTGATTCTGTGCTGTTGATTGCATGATTTGGTTGACCTTTGTGAGGTTTTGAGCCTGTATACATGGCATACATCTTGTGGCCATTCTTTCTTTCTCGTGTGCTTCTGCTCTTGATCTTTGTTCTCTAGAACTTGCCGTGGTTCTTTTTGAAACTGCATTTTTCACTTTCATGCATGAATATTATTGAGGCATTCATTTCTTTCTTTACCCACTTTAGCCAGATAGTCATCCCTTACATTATTATCCTTTGGTGAGCCCCTCTGAGCCTTTACAAGCCTAAGTGAAAAACCAATTAATTCCACACCCTGGAGATTTACTGAGCATTGGTTTTACTGTGATAATGTGTTTAAGTGTGGGGGTGTCCATCTGATTCCTTTATGCTATGTGATTTTACTTTTCAAAAAAAGAAGAAGAGAAAAAGCAAAAATAAAATAAAATAGAAAAAGCAAAAAGAAAAAAATAGAAAAAAAGCAAAAAGAAAAAAAAAAGTGTTTATTTCTATCTTTTCATTATCTTTGTTTTATTTCCTTAATGTAATTTTTAACTTTTGCTCAAATAGATTTCTGGGTGTTTAACATTCTCTTCCATATTTCATCCATACCTTCACCTCAGCCCCATTACAACCTTGCATAAAGCCCTCTTGATTTGTGCATGCATGTGTTGGTAGCAGTGGAGAAGTAGAACTTGAGCAAGCCTATGGTACAATGATTTTCTTGAGTGGATTTGAGTGATACACTTATTACCCGATACACTTGACAGAAAAATATTGAGAGCATCCTGTAAAGAACCATTACATGCAATTGGCATGTACAGTTGAAATTAGTAGGTCTTGTGATTTGAAATTAAGGAATTTCTGTCTGATTGGTTTATCTGTTGAAGACTTGTGATCTTTGTATATTTTCTGTATGCTTGATAATTGTTAGAAGGAATTGGTTGATCTTAGTCTTTGCTTTTTATTTTAGTTTTTGCCCCATAGTGCAAAAAGATAAGTGTGGGGGAATTTGATAACACATATTTTGTTACACTTCTTTATTACTCTTGGTTGGTATTTTTACGATTTATTTGAATTAAATAAAGGTTTTTTGGGTCAGATCATAATTCTAGATTTTGATTGGGTTTAATTGATTTTCGTCAGATTTTTCCAGATATTTAGGCACTTGTTTTAGGCATTTGAGAGAAGTATTATAAGATATTTAGGCACTTGTTTTAATTATTCCGCAGTTAGTTTTCAGTTACGGTCACAACTTTTATTTATTACGTTTTACTATTATTTTAAATGCTCGCGTAATAAAAAGAAAAAAGTTTTCTTACATTTTTATAAATGAATTGCTGTGATTGTAACTACGCTTAATATGATAATCAATGTTAACAATATCGATGTACAACAGGCTGTTACAAGGAGTCTAGCGAGCATATGTAAAACGCTCGCTGAGCAGCTCGCTAAAGCGAGCAACCAGTCTTCAGAAAAATGAGAAATTAGAGTGTGAAACCTTTGGGAATCTCATAGTGGTATCCCTTAGGACTTGTATGATACTTCTAAGCGTATTTTAGTTATTCTACAATATTACCTGGTTATAATTACGGTATTGGTTATTTTAAATATGGTTTTGTTTAAATAGAAATGAACTACATTTTAAAAGGGAAAAGTTTATCCATGTTTTTAATTGAACCAATATGATTGTAATTGCGCTTAATATCATACACAATGATAATGAATCGGTTCTAGAACGGGGCGTTACTACTTCTAACCAAATACAAAATAACTAAAATACTTAAAACATGAAGAAGAACTTCTGCATTTTTCTACTTATGCCTTAGGAAATTTCAACTTTCTTCTTTCAAGATTGTTTTGGAGAGTTAAGGGATCAAGGATCTTAATTTTTGTTTTGTCATTGCTTTTATTTTGTTTTTTGTTCTCTTTTGGGCTTCAGGACCTCCTTATTTATTAAAAAAATGGTAGTCAATTTTTACATACACAATTTATTGAAAAATAAAAACGTAATTAGCCATATTCTAGTCACTAGGGTTCATTTAGAGACCGATAACAGAATATCAAGAAATGAATATTATCAAGTAATCAAACAATGTGCATTAAAAGTGTACCTAAAAAAATAAAATAAACATGTGTCCGATGGTCAAATGAGCCAACTTATTTATCTTATTGGCTAAATGGGGTGATCTAAGATTATGTGCCAAAATTATGGGCGATTAAAAAAATCATGAATAGGTATAATAGATTTGATCCAATAAACTTGATTTATTTAGATAGCCTTAATTTGTATCGCTTTATCCATAATATTAAAAAATATAGTTAAAGTGGAAGATAAATATGGTAATGCTATGAAAATCCTGAAGTGGATCCGGGAAAAATACCATCAATTTATTCAATGACATCAAATCCTATAGAGAGAGGATATTCAGAGTGCTTATTTTTGCTCAAGGGGCCAACTCAACCAATTCTTAAACCATTCCCTCAAATGGAAATGTATGGAAAAAAGAATAGACTCAATTCTAAGTGGTATGAATAATTTGGTTCTTGGTTGGAGTATAGTGTATCACAAGATGCATATTTTTGCTTGTATTGTTATCTATTTGATATGGAGGTTGGAGGCAGTGGTTCGACGAAGGAAACATTTGTCAGTGTGGGGTTCAGAAATTGGCAGAAGAAGGATAGAATTAGAGTTCATTTTGGAGATCATAGGAGTGTTCACAATAGATGTTATAAAGCTAGTCAAGATTTGATGAAGCAAAAACAACATATTGATATTGCCTTTTCAAATATTTATGAACAACAAAGAATTAATTATCGTATTCGGCTGGAAGCTTCTTTAGATTGTGCTAGATACCTACTACGAAATGGTCAACCTTTTCGGGGACATGATGAATCTGAAAATTCAAATCAACAAGGTTTATTTCTTGAAACTCAAAAGTTTTATACTAAGCCAAATAAAGAGATGAGTCATGTAAAATGCCCCCGATAATCACAAATTGACTTTAACAAAAATTCAAAAAGATCTTGCTTAGTTTGTGCTGATTTAACTGTTAAAGCAATATTAGTGATCTCGGCGATGATTACTTTTTCTTGCTAGTTGATGAAGCTCGTGATGTAGCAATTAAAGAACAAATGGCAGTTGTACTTCGGTATGTAAACAAAAAGGGGCTCATTGTTGAATGTTTTATTGGCATAATTCATGTTTTAGATACTACTGCACAATCACTAAAAGCAGCAATATATAGGCTGTTTTCTAAACTTGGTTTAAATTTGTCTAAATATCGCGGTCAAGGCTATGATGGTGCTAGTAATATGTGGGGTGAATTCAAACGGCTTAAGAGTTTGATTTTGGCAAACAACAAATTTGCATTATACATTCGTTGTCTTGCTCTTCAGTTACAATTGGCACTTCTGAAAGTTGCAAAATATCACAAAAAGATCCAAGAATTTTTTGACATGCTTCAAAAAATGGCTGCCATTGTGGGGAAGGGGGGTTCATGCAAGCAGAAGGAAATTCTTCAAATGAATCAATATGAGCATATAGTGGAAATAATTGCTCGCGATGAAATACCAACTGGAAAATGTTTAAATCAAGAGACAACCTTCAAGCAACCCAGAGACACTCGTTGGGGTTCCCATTTTGGTACAATTACAAGTGTTATCTCATTATTTTCTCTAGTAATTTCCTTGATGAAAATTATTGAATACGAGCCTAGAAATGATGCTGCAAGAACTGATTCAGGTTGCATTTTGTTT